GAGCTCTGTAAATATATAAATCTATAGGTTTTGAAAATATGCAATTACATTAAATTCAGGTTTCAATATGGCTAAAAACGAGAATTACTTCAAAATGTAAGTTAAAACATATATATAGATGATGAAAAATAAAAAGAAATACACATAAATATATGATTAACATTAAGATTGTTTCGCATTTTACTTAATTAGTTTTAATAATGTTTTTAGTGTGGAATATTTCTAAATGTATTACGTTTTAAACGTGTGTGTGTGTATAGAGAGATTTTTTCTTTGTTTGATTTAGGCACCCAAGTGGCACAGCGGTATGTCGGCGGACTTACAACGCTAAAAACCGGGTTTCGATAACCGTGGTGGGCAGAACACAGATAGCCCATTGTGTAGCTTTGTGCATAAACTCAAACAAACATTGTTTGATTTACATAGTTGTTTTTAACATAACTTAGATATGCGTCTGTAGTCAAAAGTTTTTGATCCTATAGTCTAACAAGTCTGGTTTATTGTAAAAGTTAAAATTAACAGAATTTATTTCAAGATTTGTTAAGCTTTTTTATGTATATAAACTATAAAACGTGAAAATTTAATTCTCCTAAGTATCACTATCAGTAGCATACACGAGAAATCTCAACGTACGTGATGAAGGTTTGTTGTAACATTGAGTTTACAGTTCAGCTTTTAGCTGTCAAATGAGCGAAATTCAAGATTGTTTATTTGTTTGTTTTTTGAATTTCGCGCAAAGCTACACGAGGGCCATCTGTGCTAGCCGTCCCCAATTTAGCAGTGTAAGACTAGAGGGAAGGCAGCTAGTCATCACCACCCACCGCCAACTCTTGGGCTACTTTTTTATCAACGAATAGTGAGATTGACCGTTACATTATAACGCCCCCACAGCTGAAAGAGCAAGCATGTTTAGTGGGACGGGGACTCGACCCCGCAGATTGCGAGTTGAGCTCCCTAACCACCTGGCTATGTCAGGCCAAAATTTAAGATATGCTTACTTTTAAACCAGACCATTAGCATTAATTAGGTTATATATAAAAGTTTGTTTTGAATTTCGCGCAAAGCTACACGAGGGCTATCTGCGCTAGCCGTCCCTAATGTATCAGTGAA